TGGGGAAGGACTCACAAACAGCCTGGGGAAAAGAGGCTTTGCATGGTGGAGAAACGGCTTTGGTGGTGGAGAAATATCTTATTTCTCTCAGGATGTTTTCCCTGTCATTCCCAGTTGGTTTGGATCCTATCTCCTAGTCACCTGGAGGCTCCTCCTTATTATCCATGGCTGGGAAGCTTGGAGAGAGTTTCTAGGCTGACTTCTGATGTTTAGGTGGAGCAAGGACCAAGCAAAGTTCAGTCACCCCAAGGGAGATCCAGGCTGGGAAGGGCTGGGAGGATGAGAAGGGTTTTTGGGCTGGGAAGGAGGTGGATTTTGTCCAGCAGGAGCCCCAGCCAGGCCTGAAGGAGGTTTTTCCTTCTCACTCTCCATGGGTTTTTAGGCTGAATCCCGATGTTTAGGTGGAGGAGCTGAGAGCAAAGCAAGGGAGACCCGGGCTGGGAAGGGTTGTTAGGCTGGGAAGGGTTGGAGGTTGGGAAGGAGGTGGATTTTGTCCAGCAGGAGCCCCAGCCAGGCCTGAAGGGAAGTGACAGGCAGTGAGTGGGGCTGGAATTCTGCCAGGCTGCCGTGAAATCGCAGCTTGCAAAACTTTCCCCAAAACACGCCGACGGCTCCAGGTGTTTCTAGGATAACAGATCTGCTCTTTGACTCCCCAATCTCCCTCAGGATCAGCAGATCCAGGGGCAAAACCCATTACCAGCAGCGACTGCTGTAACTCAACCTCAGCCCCTTGAGACTCTCCAGGGCTGTTTTGCTCAGAGCTTTGGCACACGGAGGAGGAGAAAAAAAAAAATAAACCCCTCATTTTTTCTTATCAGCTCTGGAGGAGAATTCCTCTCTTCTTGCTCTCTCCTGTCTTATCTCTGCAGGGTTTTGACCTCCAGGTGTGTGAGGGTCTCACCACCCTCAGAACGAACGAGACTTTTGGCATTTGGGGAGGGAATTGAACTGGTTTGGCCACTCTCCTGCCTGAAGAGCTTTGCTCCCCAAGCCCTGGAGTGGAGAGAGAGAGACACGTGGCAACCACGACCAACCCCAGGGAGGGCAAGGCTGGAGAGAGGACACTTACAACCAGCCAAGCAAGGAGAGCAGATCTGGCACCCAAAGCCAGGGCAAACAGAAACTAAGCCTGTCACAAAAGCTGCAGGAGAACCAAGAATCCCTTTGTCAGGTGTCACCGGGGACTTTTTCCGCCCCCGAAAAGCTTCAGTTCTCCAAGGCTCACACAGTGCCAAGAGTTTCTCCCTGCCCAGCCAAGGCTTTGCAGGTGGAGAGGGTTTGTTTTTCCTTTTTTAAGAGGGATGGAGGGGACTGCCATGGAAGGGAAGATGAAAGGAGAGGTGGAAATGTGGCCTGTGTCCCTGCAGAGCCTGAGGCTTCTTGTTGCCTTTCCCAGAGGGAAAACCATTGAGCAACAGCTTCAAGGGCAGAAAGAAAAGGGTTGAGATGGCAGAGGAGGAGATGTTGGTCCTGGCTGCAGGCACAGAGCACCCCCAAATCCAAGCCCAGGCTTGGGGAGGAAAGGGAAGGTAGTAGAGAGGTCCAGTCTGGCTCTGAAAGCTTCAGAGCTTCTCCAGCCTCGGTGCTCATCCCATTCCTCCATGGAGGAAGGTCCTGCTTGGTCACAGCTCCTCAACCAGACACAGCATCCCCAAGTCCTTTCCCTGCTCCCAGGGGAAGCTTCAGCTTGGCTACAGCATCTCCCAGTCCTTTCCCTGCTCCCAGGGGAAGCTCCAGCTTGGCCACAGCATCTCCCAGTCCTTTCCCTGCTCCCAGGGGAAGCTCCAGCTCGGCCACAGCATCTCCCAATCCTTTCCCTGCTCCCAGGGGATGCTCCAGGAGAAGCTCCAGTTTGGCTCTAGCCCCATAACTAGACCCATCATCCCCCAGCCCCTCTCTCCTGCCAGGACAGCCTCAAACCACACATTTCCTGGGAGCAGCTCCAGCTGTTTGCTTTTCCTTCCCATGTCAAGGTCCTCTCTGTGTGTTTGTGGAGCACAACCCTAGGAGAGC